TCAATAAAATGCCTGAGCCTTTCCCCCTGCCTGAATTGTTGAATTGGCCTTCTCTGTTGTTTTTTTTATTTGTTTGTTTATTTGTTTTTGCAAGGCACAGACCAAGAGCATTGGCAATCAGACACAGGAAAACACAGTTGGTGGTGGCAGCTCTGTGGCTGCTTTGCAGCATCTCCAAACTGCACATCTCCATTTCATGCATCTTCAAACCACACCTATCTTAGAGCAGCAAAAAGCTTCAGATTTGTGTGCATGGCTGAGGTGTCCCTGAGACAGGAGTTTTCCCAATTTCCCCAGACAGGAGTGTAGAACAGTGATTAGTGTAGAACTATCTCCACTTTTTAAATGCTTTTTGCTCCATGTAATCCAAGAAAATCTGATAACATTGAATCAGGGGCCTGCGAATCTTCACAGCAGGGTACTTTACCAGCATCTCAAGACATCTTACCAAAAGTAAGTATCAAATAATGTTATCTGGTTATATATATCACACGAAAATGGTTAAATCATCAGAACATTTGAGTTGGAGGGAATATGCATTTGCCATGTTAAAATACATGTTTCAAATAAATGTTCAAATACAAACATACAAAGAAATAGGGGGGCTAAAATCTAGCCATATAAGTATTTAAAATACCAGACTTTCTGTATTCTAAAAATCCAAATGGGGACTTACTTTTTGTAATCCATTGCTGGAAAATTTGATGTGTGCAGAACAAGTCAATAAAATGTTCAACACCTTAGTTATAAAATTCATTAAGTAGTTTCACAGTAAAGTTTGGAGGACTGATCATTCTTCATGAGTTTTCAAAAATATTCAAGTTTAGAAGATGTACCCAATGTTCAAAAGTGATTAAATGACTCAAGGTCCTATTGACAATAAAAGGACTTAAGGCTAACCTGTAATCAACTTACATGCCTTGTGAAAACATAATTTTCATTGCCCAACAACTATTCACAAATGGGATTCCAACTAAAGGTCACTCAAGCAGAGAGCTGAACTTTAATAAGAGGGCTGTTGTTGCATTGCTAAAGTGCGTCTAGACACTCTCCTCATCCAAAAATGGTGGGCTTCTATCTCCTGTTGAAGTATCTAAAGGAGTCTTTGTAGTGACAGCACATCTAGAATTTACCTCACTGTAAGTCTGCATACAAATCTACGTAAGTCCCTTGCTGCTTTATCAAGAGCATAAATATCTGATACTATTTAAATTCAGTTTATTAGCCTTCATTTACTTGTTTCTGCCCAAAACAATACCAGCCCACTCCACAGTTGTGGAAACAGAACTGCACAGACTCACAGAATGGTCAAGGTTGGAAAGAACCTCTGAAGATTGTCTAGTCCAACCTCCCTACTCAAGCAGGGGTCAAGTAAAGAAGGTCATCCAGGTCATCAGCGTTTGGTGTATCAACCACCCCTCAAAACTGTACATTATCTGCAAACTTGCAGAAGTCCTCTTTATCATTGTGAAAGGTAGGAAATTTCACAGCATGAAAGAAAACATACTGCTCATTGTCCTTTTCAAAGTGGGCTATGATCTACTTTAAAAATAAGGCATCAAGTTTTAAAATTGTTGCCTGATGGTGGTCCTATCTCCACCCTTAGGTTGGACTTGAAATGTCTCATTGTGCACTGTTACCCATTACTGTGCGGAAATCTAGCTGATCTGCAGCAGCCTTCAAAGAAGCCTGGACTTCTCAGATTGTTTGTCAGTTTCTTGAATACGCAGTAAGGTCTCTGACTATGTTCTGCACAGCTTTTGTCTGAATAGTACTCTTCTATTAATGTCCATTTTTTTTGAGCAAAACTCAGGAGGGAGGACCATTAGACTAGCTTGATACTCGTCTGTTCATACAGAAAGATCAGGCAATCAGATAAAGCTCCTTAATTTCCTGTTCAGTCCCTGTCTCCCCAAGCCAACAAGAACAAACTAAACTTGTATTCAGTATACACCAGCCACCTGTGTCATAAAGCAGGGTGAAGAAGGAACTGGCTACCCTTAATTGTATTTGCAGTGAAAGCTTTCCAGAGAAATAAAACATTTTTTGCTAATTTGTACCATAAAATCTGCTTGGTCAGAGACCAAGCATCATCTCCTTCCGATTCTCACAAGGCATCCCAAAGTTCACTAAAATTACCAGGTAGAGGATAAGCCCCCAAGACTAAGGGCATTTTTGTAAGTTAGCTCACTGAGTGAAATAGTTAGATTTGCTACGCTAAAACATAAATAAACACAGTTAAATTAGCTTTAAAGCTGGTGCATGTTCCTTACAAAAACTATGCTATCACCAGATAAAGTTATATCTGACAGCTCACCTGCAACAATATAAAATCATTGCTCATTATCATCATGCCAAAAGAGGTTAAGAATTATGTTTGGTTTAACAATTCTATTACTTTCCATGAAAAACCAGACACCAGAAAAAGAATACACACAACTTTAGAAGTAAATTTAAGTTGAATTTTCCTAACTAGAAGATATCTATATATATGTTTAGAATAACCCCCTCTTAGCAGACTGATTTAAGATAAATTGCAATATAGAGACATATCAAAAGCAGTTCTCTGGTTAAGCAATCTCCAGTTGTTTATAAGATACTGCCCTTTCCTAAAGAGATGAGAACCCATGGTTTTGTTGCAACAACACAAAAACACTACAGACACAAATAAACAGATTTATGAATGATCTTCCTTCTAGACGTGTACTCCACCACTCATTCTTCTTTTATTTGCATCTTCAGCTGGAGAAAACAGCTATTAAATCAGGCAAGAAACATTCTGGGAAAGGTTTTCATGAAACTGCTAGCACGTGCCTTCTTTTATAGTTTTATTCATTTTAACTACCAACATTCATGCAATGCATTTCTTAGGCAAATGTTTTTATATACTAGGGTGTTCAAGTTCTGTAAGTCAGCAAAAACCATTTATTTAAATGCCTATCAGTTTACAATAACAGTTCCCAGGGCTACTATTATGGAAATTGTTATATTACTATCAGTATTTACCACTGAACATGATAGCTGTACACATAGCTGTAATGAGCGTAGGTAGACTCTGTAGAGCACCTAGCACAATGAAGTGTAACTCCAGAGCTTGTAAGACAGCAGAAGTACAATTTAGTAATACTGTACATCTGATTAAGAATACCAGAGCAACTGTGAATCTCTGATCTTTATCTTGTTAGTTTTATATTTTATCAACTGCATCATCATGCTAACCCTGATCTACTTACTGCAGTTTACTCAGACAATTAATAGACATACAAAGGTTATATTTGGAATTTTATGAAGTATAAACAATACCGAAGAAGTCAAATCATTGGTTGTGACAATACCATGCATACCGTAATTACAGAAAAGATGGCATGAACTTAACATGCTTTTAAAATAAATTTCAAGTCCAGCAACTGTTTTCCAAGCACAACTTAAAGAAGCTTTAGGGCTACTCTAAGCTATGCTTTGGTACTTCCATCTACAGACCTGACCTGTTAGGTCTGAACTGTCAAACAGAAGAACATGCAATCTGTCTTGTGCTCCTCCATTCACCTCCACAACATGCTCTGCTTGAGAAAAGCTTTCAGTCTTGCACATAAAGACCCTGAAGAAGTGGTGATATTGCTCTACCATTTGATTGTATCAAGCAAGGGATGTGAAAAACAGCTCTTCAATCTGCAAAGGAAAAAAAATGCACTTTAAAAAGAAAAATAAGCTTCATTTTGTTAATAAACTCTGACAGTTGTAAATTTAGCGATGAGTATGATACATCTTAAGGATTTAATGAAAACTTTTAAGACAGCTTAATTGGAGAAAGAATAGAGAGTGATATACAATGTTGAAAGAAATTGCACAACATGTATGTATGTATGCATATGTAACAAACTTAACTAATTCATATTGCTAAGAGAGATGTCCCCTATAAGGGCAATTTGACTCTTAACTTTCTTGTCTACAGTGCAAACACATTGAGCAGCTGCAGTACTAACTCATACAAGATCTGAGATGCTCTCCTTTATCATAGTTTCCTCAAAGTCCTTCATCCATTTACTCCAGTCCTACATCCAAATTGTTCATGAAAGCACTGAAAAGAACTGGCTGTAAAATGGAGCCTTGGGGGACCCCACTGTGACTGGCTGCCAGGCTGATGTAACCCCATTTACCACAACCCTTCGAGCCTTACCTGTCAGCCAAGTGCTCACCCATCGCATGGTGTTTTTATCTAGCTGTATGCTGGACATTTTGTCCAGTAGGATCCTATGAGAAACTGTATCAAAAGCTTTTTGGATTTCAGTAAAGATTACATCAACTGGCTTCCCTTGATCAACAAGATGGGTGGTCTTATCTTAAAAGTAAATCAAATTTGTTAAACAGGACCTACCCCTCATGAACCTATGTTGGCTGGGACCTATGACTGCACTGTCCCCCAGGTGCGTTTCAGTAACACCCAGAATAATCTTCTCTATAATTTTACCAGGCACTGATGTGAGACTGATAGGTCTGTAGTTACCAGGGTCTTCTTTCTTGCCCTTCTTGAAAATTGTCACGTTTGCCAGCTTCCAGTCAACTGGGACCCCTCCAGATTCCCAAGACCGTTGAAAAATAATTGAGAGGTGCCACGATGATGTCAGCCATCTCTTTGAGCACCCTGCAGTGAATCTCATCTGGACCCATGGACTTGTATGGATCCAGGTGGAGCAGCAAATCCCACACATGTTCAGGGTGGCTGGGAGTTTGTCATTCCCACCATCACAGCCCTCCAGCTCAGGACACCCTGGGTCCTGAAGCCCATCATCGGCATTGAAGACAGAGGCAAAGAAGGCATTAAACATCTCTGCTTTGCCTATGTCCTTATTTGTAAGGTGACCGTCCCCATCAAGTAGTGGACCTATGTTTTCTCTGTTCTTCCTTTTTTGTTCACATATTTAAAAAATTCCTTTTGCTGTCTCCCACAGACCTGGCCAGCTTCAACTCTAACTGGGCTTTGGCCACACAAATTTTCTCCCTACAAAGGCGAACAATGCCCCTGTAGTCCTTCCATGTTTCCTGACCCTGCTTCTAACAGCCATACACTTTCTTTTTGTACCTAAGCTCCAGAAGAAGACTCCGGTCAGATAAAGTGGCCTTCTACCCTGCCTGCTTGACTTCTGATATTTCGGAATTACCTGATCCTGTGCTTTTAGGAGGCAGTGCTTAAAGACTGACCAGCACTGATGGACACTAATGCATTCAAATGCAGTTTCCCAAGGGACCTTACTAACTAATTTCCTGAGCAGCCTGAAGTCTGCTCTCCCCATATCCAGAGCTCAAGTTTTGGTGGCAGTTTTCCTTCTGTCACCAAAAATTTTAAACTCATCCACTTCATGGTCACAATGACCAAGACAGCCACCAATTGCCACTACCCCCTCTCTGTTCTCAAGAGAGGGATCTAGAAGGGCACCTTCCCCACTTGGCTCCTTTAGAACCTGCACCAAGAAGCTATCATCGATAAGCTTTAAGAACCTCCTGGACCTGCTTGTGTCAGCTGTGTTATATTCCTAGTTAACATCTGGCATATTATTTATCTCCTCATTCAGTGGAATGCAGCAAGTTTACTACAGATACTACTGTGTTTTGGCTTGCTTCACATCATCTGTTTTCACTGGATCAGAAGACACAAAGGTTTTATCTCACCTTGATTCTCATGTTCTGCCTCTTTCTTTTTTTTTTCTTTTTATGGGAATGACATCATTCTGATCCCTACTGGCTCCTTCCTACAAATCTCAGATTATATGATTCTCTGTGGAATGAAGTAAAATATTTTACTTTTGTTATACAGAAATCATAGGATTCCCAATACCTACAGAGCTATATTTATACTCTACGTATCCAACAACTATTGACAAAAGCAATGGGTACTAATTATCTTGTCACAGAACACTGTGAACATAAGGTGTATTTAAAAGTACATTGCTTTGAAAGTAGAACTTGCAGATGATCCTTATTCAAGATTTTTAGTCGTGATCAACAACTATCACTGTCAACATAGCAAAGCTTCAAAATCCAGACTGCACTAGCACAGCACTACCATAATGCCACTTCTATCTTTGTATAAATGACAGCATATAACACAAAATAAAGCACTACTTACAGAGATGCTGTCCAGTACGAAGAAGAATTTGTAGACAGAAGTCTTCCATGTGTGCTGGTGGGCTTTCTCTCTTCACTTCACTTTTGTAATTCACACACTAAATGGAACATTTTTTCCATATGAGTGGCTACGATGACTGATCAGCTTCTCTGGTGGAATTCACTTTAAAAAAAATATAATTTTTCAGGTCCTTTTTTTTTAAGGCCTTCTATGCTTTGGTGGTTTGACATGACAGGGGTGTAATCTCAAACTCTTGCTTACTTAAGCAAGCCAATTTAATGTCTTTTTACCATGAATGGCTGTTTTGAAACCATGCATCTACATGCTTGCTCAAATTCAGTTCAACATTAAAATATGATTTTAGAGATCTCTGACTTATGGGAACAGATCTCTCTGAGAAGTTACAGGATGAATCCAACATTAAATAGGTATGTTTTAGAGACTAAAAACTGATCTTCTTCAATGAAGAAAAGTGCTGACCAACAGCATGATCTGGTGCAGTGAACTACTACAGGAAAGTCTGATAGAGTAAGTTTAAATTTTAATGCAAACTTATGCCCCCGAATTTCCAACATCTGTTTTCAAGTCTTTCAGATAACAGGTCTTCTGCAACAGAAGATAGGTGAGTAGTATCAAAGCAGCTCTGATTTTTGCTCTGAAAAATTCTGATGCTTACTTTCAACAATGTCAGAAGCCTAGAAATAATGATAGATTCAAAATGCCATTTATTAGAACAAAATTCTTTAGATGTGGAGACGTTCTTTACCTGAGAAATCAGAGAAAGAAAATTTTAAAAGTATTTAACAGCCAAAAAGCAACATTATGGGTGTATTGTATTGTGAGTACATATGCTGTCAAGTTGCTCATTGATACTCTGTAGATTTTCTTTGCTGTCCTCAGCATTTCCCCGAAAACAGATATTAAATTAGTAGTAAAATGAAAGAGAAATAGACAGAAAGCAAGGCAAACATAGAGGAAACAGAATTAAATTTCAGAATAAGTTAAGGTTAAATTATTGTACCAAGTTGTGGCATTATGCTGGGTGAAGGGGCAGGGGTTAAAGGAAGCTATATTTTCTTTTCAGCAAGCATGCACTGTACCTGTACAATTCAGGTAACTGGGCTGCAAGCAGACAGTACAGTCGTCCTAGAAAAGTGAATAACAATGCAAATCAAAACAAAAACCAAGAACTGGATACTCTTCATTCCTCTTAGTCCCCTTTCTCCACCTAAAACATTACTATTTAGCTGAAGACATCAAATACAATCAGGATTGTTTAGTAGGTAATGTTTCCAATGATGCCTTTTATAATAAAGAACTACCTGACTGGGTTAGGGAAAAAAAATAGCTAAACCTATTTGTACATACCACTTAATACTAGGCAAAACTTATACCCTAACTTACATCCAATATATTTATACCATTAATCCAGTGAATGCTTACAGCAACCTATTATATTCTCACATTTCAAAAAAGTAACAGTAAGACGTGGTACTTTTAAAGTACCTGGAAAAAAAACTTGCCAACCACCTTTATGCACCTATACAAATCAGTACTCCATCGTGAATAATCTTGATATTAAAAAATACCTGTTTTTAAGAAGAGATTTGCTGACAGAATTTATGAATATCTTGTTACAGCTCAGAGTTGCCATGAGAAGTAACTGCAATTTACTGAACTTCCAGGTACTGAAATGCTGTCTTCTTAGCAATTATAGAGAATTATGGAAAAAAAATAGATTGAAAGGCACATCTGAAGGTCATTAGGCCTAACTTTCTATTTCAAGCAGGCTAATCTCAAAACTGTATTAGGCTGCTCAAGGTCTCATACAGTCAAATTTTGAAAATCTCCCAGGATGGAGCATCCACAACCTCTCTGGACTCTATCTCAAAGTTGCATCATTCTCTTGGTGAAGAATTGTCCCTGTTATGCCCAGGTCAGATTTCCTTGTTGCATGTTGTGCTCATCACTTCCATGTTCATTTTTCTTTGCACCTCCAAGAAAAGTGTAGTTCTTCTCTATAATCTCTCCACAGGTGGCAGAAGGCTGCTATTAGACCTCCCTCTTCCCCAGTCCTCCTCTCAGTAGGCTGAACAAGTCCAGTTCCCCTGGTTTCTCCTTGTGTGTCAAATGCTCCGACTCCTTTTCACCTCATTGCTGCTGCACTGGACTCTTCCCAGTTTGCCGACACTTTTCTTGTAGCAAGGTCCCCAGACATCATACTCCATTTTTGTTAAACTCAAAATTTGACTGGTTTCAACCATGTAGTACTGACAAAAGGGAAGCTGGCTTTGAAAAACATTTAGCTAAGGAACAAGAGAAGATTTCTAGAAGAAAATGGTGACAGAGAAAGAAGAGACAAAGCACAGAATCCATGAGTAAACCGGATCTCTCAAAGAGTGCTGTATGTCTTTCTTTGAGCAACTGAATTCCACAGAAGTGGAGATAAGAGGCAGAATCCCTTAAGAAAGGGGATATAATTGTCACAAGAATCTGGAAGGTCTGGGGTATTCCTACTGCCAAAACAGAAAACAGTAAAATTCCAGTGGAAGACACCACTTGAGAAGAGAAGAAAAGAACAGTTAGTTGGAAGGAACCTGCAAAGATCAGAGTTCAACTGCCTGACCTCTTCAGGGCTACCCAAAAGTTAAAGCATAGTAATGAGGACATTGTCCAAATGCCTCTTGAGCACTGCGTATTTTGAACACACTGGCATTGCCAATTAAATGCCAACTCAAAGCTATAAAGCCCCTCCCCAACAACAGGCAAAATTCTCCCTTACAGGCTGCAATACTCACTATCCATCAGCAAGATTTTGCTCCAAAATTAGCTACTCTAACCGGAACTTGTTCCTTGAGATCCCTGCTGAACATTTACATTCACCAGCTTTGATGGCTTCTGGCTGCCCTGAAAAATCTGCTGAACAAATGTGATGTCCAGATAGTGGCTTTAGAAGTGCTTGCTCTGCTGTCCAAAGAGTTATTTCCTGGAACAGTGCTAGTTCTTGTGTGGAATCACACAAGGAAGTCTGTCCAGTTCGCCGTTGCTAACAGAAGCCTTTCTGGGAGCTGGATCAGGTCCTTCTCCTCCAGAATTTTCTCAATAGCTTCTACATTGATTTGTCACCAAATGAGACCCAGGAAATCTCATCTCCTGTATCAGTTCTGGCAGTGGCTTGTAAACGCTGACACTAGTCTGGCTTGTCTTCGGAAGGCTTTAACAGGAAGCTTCCAGAGAAGCCTCTAGAGGAAAACCACTGGGATCCATAGGAACATGTTTATTGTAATGATTGCAAAATCTGTTTGCTTCCTGTTACCAAAGACCAGCATTTCCTGCCAATAGTTAGAGTCGGTCACATCCAGTCTCGCTGAATATGAAGCGGTGGTTATCCTACGCTTTCAAAAGAGAACTTGATGCAGGTGTGAAGCTGGGAGAGTACCTGGAAGAAAGGATGCTGAACGTGCATCCTGTGAACTGCAAAATGATCAAATGTGATGTGAAGTTGAGTTACACCACAGTGGCTCCACGAATAACTTGTCAGCTGGGGTTGTTTACTGAGGAAGCTGAAGTGGGTGAACTTGGGCACGTTCCCACCTGCATGCCACACAACAAGCAGATGATAGGGAGGATCTTATAATTCAACTCCAGGTTTGCTGAAAGAAAAAAAAAACTTCTGGTGATCCCTGGCAGAGCATCATTAACTCAGTACCTACCTTGCTTTAGCATTAAAAAGCTTCTCTAAACTTCTTCCCTAAATCAACCCTGCTCCACTTCAAGCCTTCAACCACTGTTTCAGAGTATTTCCTGACCAGGACAGTGCTTGGTACATATAAGCTTTGGAATGAAATCCAGACTGCACAGAAAAACTGCCAGTGGTATCACCACTGCAGATGGGACAGCCCCAGTAACGCTCACTGCTCACGGGTGGCAACAGCAGAGACGGTGCCATTAGCAGAGCTGGTAAAACACAGGCATTTACAGTGATGGCAACAAAAGCAAGTTTTGTCGCTACAAACAGAGGACCTAATCGCTACATACAGCTATACAGCTTTATCTATATAGCTATAGAGCTAACAGCTGCAACAGGTTGGCAGGCACCTCACATTTAGTGGTATGGTGTTGGCACATGCACAAACAGCAATGATCTTTTAAAAGACCATGAAGAAGATTTGCTAGGGAATATTTAACATTATAAATAGCACCATAATCTGGGGATTAAAAGTGATTTCCTGTAATCAACCTCGATTAAACAAATGTTTGAGTTCTTAGAGAGATACAAGAGCAGTCACAGTTAATGTGGATATTTAAACTGACAGAACTTAACGTCAGACACTTGATAGGATTTATTTTCAAGCCATTCTTGGAAATATATACATACATATGTATATTATTAATAGTTTAATATAAAGGCTGGGAAATACTTGATTTAGTCCAGTTAATGGACCATGCACACTTGATCCAAGTTTGGTAAGATACTGAGACTGCCAAGGGAGAGATCACAGCATAGCCAAATCTGCTTACCTTCTTTTGGGCACAGGCTTGCTGCCTAGAGTGGACAACATATGGCTTATTACAAGTAAAAAATGGCCCAGGACTTGCAGAAAGCATAGCAAAGTCACCTTTTATGTGCCTTCTGGCAAGCAACAAGCAACTGGGACACCAAGGCCATCTTCATGAACAGGTAACTCAGTGACCAAATGCTCTAAGCAGCCAGCAGGGGTCACCTGGCCCATGAGCAACATACACTATGTACTGTTAAAGGACAATGAATCCAAAAAAGCTTCAACTGCCTCCAAGTGCCCATAGACTGAAGTCTAATAAACTGCAGCCCTTGCTGCTACAAGTCTGGGACAGACTTAGGGATGAGTGCTGCTTTCATTTCTATTCAGAAGCACTTTTTTGGGAAAAAAAAAAAGATATTGCCTCCTACTTTGACCATACCAATTGCTCCTCATCGTGTTGTTGTGTAGCTAATTTATCTCCAAATGCAAAACCACATCTTCTCTCTCAGTTGCATCCTGTTTGCTATAACACAGAATCACCAGAATGGTTTGAATTGCAAAGGACCTTAACGATCACCTAGTTCCAATGCCCCTGCCACGGAGAGGGACACCTGCCCATCACTTCTCTGGCTTGCCTTGGTCCTTCTGAATTCCAATATTCTGCCTCATGCTTATAGCTGCTCCCAACGTCACTCTCATTTGAAAACTTAACAAATGAATTCTGCACCTCACGATCCAAGATAATAAGGACTGCTCCATGAGTTCAATTTCCTACCTAGTTTTACACATTCTCGTCATAATATTAAACAATTAACTTCCATAGCTCGCCTATGGGATTGTCAGAGAACATAGTAGTATTAACAAATCAGCAATCATTAATTGAAAGTACTAAGCTAAGTACTGGCTAATAGAACTGTATGCATGAGTGGAACTATAATTTAAGTTTATTAAAAAGGAAACTTTGCATCCACTTTGAAGTCCTATACAGGATCATTCTTCACAGCAGATGATACAGATGTGCTGGTGCACTTGCCCCTATTACCACAGTCACAACCAACAGGGTGTTTTTACAAAACCAGAAACTTCTACAGGATAGATCTCATTCTCCATGTACAAATCAGAGAGTTGTTTTCCTAGAAGGATCTGTTCAAACCATTCTTCATTTTTTCTGACCGGATGAGACATTACATGAAATATTTCACTTTTATCCACACAATTGGCACTGCTAGCAAAGACTCCAAAATAGTTCTTCTGTGGGGAGACAGTTGCATCCAATTATGGATTTACTGAAACTCTTCAGATGCCACAACACAGAAAGACAGATGTAGACCAACAAAAGCAAACCTTCAAGTCACGCTGGTTTATAACAAAATTATATGGACTAAATAAGAGCTCTCGTCAGCCAAATACTCAGTTTGGTTTTCCAAAATTTGGTTTTCCAATTTAAAAATTTTACAAGTCACCACTATCCTCAAAGATTTTAAAATAAATCTGAAAGTGCTCATTGTCATTTGAGAGTAAGACAAAGCCAGAAAGACACAGAAACTCTACATTGCTTAGTGTCACAAAAGCAGTTCTCCTAATCACCAGTCCTCCTTCAGAAATTAGCCAGCCCCATCCTCTGATGGGAGAAATTATGACCACACTCAGATCATGCACAAATAAATACAGATTTAAACTATTTGAAATACAAATGCCTTAACTCATTCAATTTTCTATTCACCACTACGAATGGCTCTATTTAATCATGCTAATAATTCCACAAGACAGAGTTTAATCTTCAACACCCTCTTGTTCATCTTGACCCTCTAGAGACATTGCTTTCTGCAGCAACAGTGGTCCAAATCTCAAAATATGTATAAAGCCACTAGATACACACTTCTGTTTATTCCTCAGCATTTGCAAATGTGCACAGAGGCATGCAGAGTCACAGACCTAGTAACGAAATGTTTTAACCATTTAAGATAGAATACATGTTTTAGAAAGAATTTGAACCATTGTATGGGAGAGGAAGGCTCTGCTAACCACTTTCCAGTTAAAAGCCTGTCAACGTGTCTACATTCAACTTACTCTTATTCTAAAAAATGATTTGCACCCTTACCATCGTGGTTAGAATTTCCCAGGGTCCATGGCTCATCTGAATCGAAGTGAGTATCTCCTCCTATGCCTGGTCCAGGAAAGTATGCATGAGCTAGGAATCCACCTTCTCCATCAAATGGAGAACTGTCTCCATGGAAACCAGAAGCAAAAAAAATCATAATATCTGCCTCCTTCCTGTCATTTTTAATTTCATGGTAAGGGACCTCTTCAAAGGTAAGTGGTGTCACTCTCTGCCAAACATCAAATGCCTGACGAATGGCTCTCCTTGTATCAAGCTCTCCGACCTTGGGGGTATAGTTGTGTACACTGTGTGAATGAGAGAGAAGGGTTGTTTAAAGGTGCAAATTCCATACAAGACTTCTTATTATAATTCCAATACACAGCCACCTCTACAAAGTTTCCATTTCTGAAATGTATTTATTGTTTTGCAGACTCTACTTTGTGCATGCAAAGTTTTGCTGTTACAAATAAAGCCACCACCACCAACAGCCTTGATGCAGAGAGTACATTAATCAGTAAAAATAATCCCAATACTTTGGTTTATCTCATATCGCTTTCTGAAAGCCTGGCAACCTTCCAAATCCTCACATATACAGTTAGTTTAAAGAATGTAAATTATTCCAGATTTTGTGTGATAATATCACACTAAAATTCCAGTGTATGAAAACACCTGGCTACTAAAATTATTTTTGAGAAATAAACTTTTCAGTAAATTATACAACTTTACTTAGATGAGCAGCTTCATTCTCAGAAGTCCTTGAATATTTAAGATTGATAGGCCAATATTATGCATGTCAATCCATGATGGATATCATGAAAAATAGCTTAACTACACATACATTTCCCATAATGGTAAACTTTAGGTTAAAAAAAAAATACTGATTTTTATATTTTTTGGTGGATATATAACAGACTCAAGACCTACTAAACTTGGCTCGAGGATATGAAACATCTATGTCATAGAAACAGCTTTCAGCCTTTAATGAAACTCAGCTCAATTTAATCTAATGATGAGAGATGAAATATCCTGTATTATATTTAGTAGTAAAATGATATATCCATCACGGGTAAGTCACTCTACAAATACTGAAGCTGGAAAGTTAATACCTAACAGTTTGACAATGGCAAGACTGCAGCCAATAAGCTGTGGTTTAAGTTATGTTTTACACAGATGATTATATACTAGTTTTCCCTAAGGTCCAGAAAAGATCAGAAGCAAGATCTGACTCTTACATTTTTACATATAGAGGGTAAGCCTTTGTAATCTCAGTTAAAGGAGTAATTATTGGTGGAAGCTTTGAACTAGTCCCCAGAACGAGGGGGACTCCTACCCGTCTCAGTACTACCTCACACTTGGGCATATTTCCCATGTTGGTCACTCAGATTTCTCTCCTTAACAGATTTCTTTCTTTCCATCTAAGCCTTATTCACCGGTATCTTCTCCTTACCATCTACATTCCTAAGTTTTACTCCTCTGCAAAGTCCCCTTCTCTCCAAATTTAGAAGGCTCTTCTTCAGAGACTCTCATCAAGAGGGTTTATTAATTCTATTTTCAATTAACATCCTTAGTGTCAAATTTTCATTGGCATCGTTGCTTTCAAAACCTAAGGACCTAAATGATTCTAACACAAAGGCCTCTCTGGAAAACAATTGTAAGTATGCAACATGCATTTTACACTAGTAGGTCACTTCAGCATATTGCCTTGGCAGGTCTAAACCAGGATAAAAGCAAGTGTTTTACTACAGCACTAAAAGGAAAAACTCTGCAAAAATAAACAGTAAAATGTTGCAAATCAGTGGAGGAACAAAGCAACACTCCATTAGACAATGATGTTCCTTCTGCTTTAAGGGTACTATTTATTAAAGAGGACAAAAGATTTAAGGGTTAGAGTCCTGCTGTCTCCATCTGTAGTTCCAGTTGCAAGGGTTAGATTTCATTAGCATTTAGATTTCTCAGAGAACAGAAAGGGGCTTAGTAGGATTTTCCTGCCAAAGTTACACAACTGATGGTTGGGATTACTAACCAGTTATTTCCTAATGAAAAACACTCCTCAGTTGCTCCAGGGATCTGAAAATATACTGCTCCACCATATCCTCAAGTCTGAAAGCCTTAACTGGGCTTCATAAGGAAAACCCACTTTTTAAAGCTAACTAAAAAATGTGCATACTGAACAAATACAGAACATTCCCCTCCCCCCCCCCCCCCCAAAAAAAAAATAAAAGTGTTATGGAGTATACTGTACCTACCTGTAGGTTATATGTTTCTGCCTCCATTTTTGTCCAGTTAGTGCATAACGCTTTTTCCTCCGGCTACGGCCTAGGTGCGGATGATCTGGAACTCCACATCGAGGCTTCTTCATCCACCTAGGGAGGAAAAGAGCAAAAAAGAAAGCTAATGAGTTTAGAACAGAAATTAAAAAGAACTCAGTGATACGAAGACCTCCTAGGGATGAGAGATGACCAACATAGACACCAAGAAGGGCTCCACCTCTGTTGACATTCCACACACCTCTGCACACAAAAAAGGCTTCATTTTTTTCCACTTGGAAACACAGATACTGGGCCAGGCAGCCCTAATTCTTGACAAAAGCTTAATGATGATAATGCCAGATGAGACACAGACCCAAATGGCACATACACATACTCTGGGATCAAATCTTCTTATTACTTACTCTTGTTGAAGTGTTCCTATGCTGGTAAAAACAAAATAAAACAAAACCTTCCAAGCCAGAATTCACTAGGTAAGATTGAACGAAAGCAACACAACCCTCCAACCTAAATGGATATGACTTTCTATAACCACCAGAATAGGTAACTGCAATCTGTGAGTCACAGTCACCAAATTCTGTCAGATTCTCCCCATACCCCTTGAGTCTTTTGATCTCACTCATGATATAGGACAGTTTGGCTTCTATGGCCACGTAAACTCAGAGATCAAAGGATGCTGTCCCTTGCAGAGGGATCCATGCACCATTATTGCAGAAGTCAGGCCTCCTCCCCTACAGATTGTACTGGACTTGACAAGAATGCAGGTTTTGTATTATGAAGCTAGCGCTCATCTTCCCCACTTCCTTTACCTTACATTTATTGGTACAGTATGCCCACACATCTGCTGCCACCTTCAAAGAAAAGTGGTACATTTGAGATTGGCATTTACAAAAGCCATATTAACTCAATCTCAAAATACTGTTTTTAAAACATCCTTTACTTGTGCTCTTTTGTGTTGTTTCTACCTAGATATTTCTCAGTTTCCTAGGTATCTTCTGAGTATTTTTTTTAATTCCAGTCATATAATTGTACAGAGTTTTAGCTTAACCTTACAAAAACCTAATTCACACTGCAGTTTGTATCTCTTGAGCTTCATGAGAACTCATGAATTATCTTCCATTTTATCTTTACAAGTATTGCCTAGAAAACAGAGACAAGCTGTAGTATCAGTACTCTGGGCTTTAAGGACTTCTTGAGCCAAAGCTTCCATGGCATCAGCATTTTCAGAGCTGTCCCTACTTTCCGTATGCACAGCTGCCTAACTCCTCTTTCAAACCCATTATACTTGTTCCAGACCTCAACTACAGAATGTCTGAAATAGGTCTAGTACAAAAAGCCTGATTACCTGGTATCTCAGTTTTGGCTGGGATAGAGTTAATTTTCTTTGCAGAGGCTTGTATAATGCTTTATTTTTATTTTTTTAAATGAAAATAGTGGTGATAACACATCAATGTTTTAGTTCATCTTCTTGTGCTGCCCTGCCAGCGAGGACATTGGGGGTGCACAAGAAGCAGGGGGACATAGCCAGGACAGCTGACCTAAACTAGCCAAAGTACATTCTGTGCCATATAACGTCACAGTCAGCAAGAAAAACTAAGGAGAAAAAGGGGGAAGAGAGGGGAACATTCTGAGTGATGGTGTTTATATTCCCAAGAAACCCTGCTTTCCCAGCAATGGCTGAATTCCTCATTTTGCTTACCTTGTGTGCAGCTTCTGCTTTAACTAGTAAACTGTCTTTATTTCAGCCCACCAGGTCTAACACTTTCACCCTTTTGACTCTCTTCCCCATCCCATGGGGATACAAGTGGCTCTGTGGGGCTTAGCTGCCTGCCACATTTACACCACAACACCCACTTACAGCTAGGCAACACCCAGGCCGCCAATAGCCTGTACTAATGTCAAGCTGAGGTTTATCTGGACTGGTTTCCTAGTTCAACTTCCTTTCAAGACATATGGGCCCTAGTCTAACCACAAGGACTAGAGTACAATTCCAGCTCTCTCTTCTCCTTTTCTCAGCAGGGCAGATTTATGTCAAAATAATCACAGAGCTGTAACTTGCAGCCACTGATCTTCTTACATGCAGCTTTTTGCCAGCTGCACTCTACTGAGCACTTTGGATAGCTCCTTACTTCTTCCGGGGGATTTATAAAAATGCATCACAAATAACAACAAAAGGCAATTACTTAAGGTAGGATTCAAATAGATAAATCACCACTGAAAAAAATATTTATTTTCACTAGGGGCGCCAATAGCATTGGACCCTCAAAAGTTTGTATGGCATTGTTTAACGCTATTGAACGATTGCATTCCTCCAGCTACTTGGCATGCAGAAAAATAGGTAATTTCCAACAGCAGTGACATCCAGTTCTTGACCTGACACAGCTGCTTCCCCCAGTCAGACTCCAAGTCCTCCACAAGACTCCTAAACAGAGGAAGCTATCACTCTCAGTTGCCTACCATTGAGCTGGTAGGAGTGGTATCTTTAAAATCTCTGAGTTAAGAAATGAAATTAGACAGCTGTGTCTTGGAACCTGAGGTGGGCAACAGGCTCAAGACTTTGCAAAGACACACAAGGGGTCTTGTTGCATTAAGGGGTGTAGCCGATTAACGTTATGGGTCTGGTCGGATTCAGGGTACTGAGCTATCACAGACACGGATTCTCCACCAACTTAACATGCCTTTAATCTTGTTTCATTCAATGAGAACTATTATGGCTAGGAATAATGTAATTAAGTACAATATATTACAGCAACAGGTACAAAAGTTCTTTGGATTGCTGTTGGTAATTTATCGTCTGCAAAAACAAGCTAGCATGCATGAAATACACAGGTACACAGCCTGGCTATGAAGGCGTTAAAAGGCACAAAGACTGTAGAGATTATTCAAGTGTTAAAATCTCACCCAAAGGCATCCCAATAGGGGAGGAGTGGGGGAAGGGAGGCTCAGCCTATACACTGCCCCAGAAGTCAGGATGCTATCTGGTATCTTCCTTCAGGATGGCATCTTCCCTAACGTCCCCTCTCTCTTAAGCCAATTGATTATTTGCTAGCCTTAAGGTAGAGCTTGACCGACTGTAGTCAAGCATATCTTAATAGTGATGGCTGAAAAGTTGTCTTGCTTTTGCTTAAAGGTATAGGATCTGAGAAATTCAGAGCGCATGCTCAGTGAGGGGTGGTCGCACCTGGGAGGCGGCAACAGCCTTAGAGGAACAGACTCCCTCCAGCTTCAGCACTTTAGGCCTATGCTTCTGTGCTATTAAGAAACCCATCGCAAGCTACAAAAAACATACAGCACATAACATCTAATGTCCAGCAAACATCAGCTAAGCAACAGCTGAGTGGTCTTGACTGTCCTCATTAGGCTGCTGCAACTCTCTTCAACTCCAAACTGCAGCTCTCCACAGGCAGCAGCTATGCAGATCCACAACTCCCATTAATTAAGAAATACTACATCAGAAATCATTTCTTAAGTCAGAGTTTTACCTACATCCAGACAGAGACAGCAATCAACAAAACCCTTGATGTTCACTGCCTTCAGAAACTCACAACACTCCTCTTTCACCTTTGCACCAGCAACAGGAATGACATTTAACAAGAGCTTCTCACGCTTTAAAACAATCTTGACTAGAAGAGCAAGATGGAGTTGTCCACGTGTGTTCATTAGGGACGCCTTTTCACAAACATCAAGACTTCTCTGACTGGGCTGAGACAGTGAAATCTATCCCTTTGGAGGACCTCTGGCTCCTGGAGCAACTACCCAGCTAATAGACAAGGCCTTGAGAATGGAAAGACAAAATTAGGCTAGGATCATCTTACTCCAGAGTTGTCTGGTCCAAAACTCCTGTTACTGGGATCCCATAGAATTGTTGCATAGTGGCCACTGCAGACTGCACAGCTTTTCCCGCCTGCAAGGCAGACATCTGGCTGTCAGACGGAAGCAAGTAGCCATAAGTTTTTAACCAACTCTGAAAAAGAAAGAAACAGATTGTAAGTTTCTGCCATATTCAGCTTTCAACTTCACATGTTACAAGGTTTCTTCAAAAGAAAGGTGACAAACTAGCCCATTCCATTTAACCACCTCTCTTGAGCAGTTAGGTTGGTAACGCTGACTGAACTCCAGGAAGACCCAGCTTCATATCTACTGTCCGAACTGGATGATACAAGCCTGCTGGTTAAAAACGGCCAGCAGCCCCACTGAATAGAACAGGGGCAGACATAGCTCTTTGGTACAACACAAATGCCAAAGAACCTCCATTCTTTGCACAGGCTGAGCTCCTCTCTTGTTCCTCCCGTGCAAACCTATCCCCAGGCCATCACAAGCTTTCTCAGCCCCCACAGCAATACGCTCCAAAGAACCCACTGCCCACCTGCTGCTGCTTCTGGACCAGCGCTCCAGCAGACAGCTTAAACAGGCCTGGACAATTCCCCACAAACAAAAGTTCAGCTTTATGTTTGCACCAGACACAGAAGGGATTTCTTACAAAAACAAGCTCAACAATTACATAGACCCTTACTAGGTGGACTCTTCCTTGAATACCAGATATCTAGCAAGTTTTCAGATCACAAAAACAGACAGCTCTCCTCACAGAGCTTTATTTCCCCCCACCCTCCCAAAACACACTTAGAGAAAACCATGTCAAACTTACAGGCCAAGGCCTGCATTTCCCAAAACAGCCAAGTAATTCAAGACTTTCTTTGGAGTCATTTTAATATTTCACCTGCCCCGGAGCCTTTTTTTTTTCTTTTTCCCTGGCCAATACCCCACAGGAATTAACATAATACAGCTAACAAGCTCCCCAAGCACTGTCAAGATACCTGGGTACTTATCATCAACAAGAAATACATCCAACTGCTTTGGTGTTCTCCTACAGGCACAATGCGCTCCATATGCCACAGACAGATTTCTACAATCTTTAGAAAACACATTTGACCGATTCAATGCTTACTACTTAGCCCATGATTACTGCAAGCCTGCTCGCTCAGACCAGGCTCGCACGCTGTCCCTTAGCCTAATGCAGCCATGGGAAAAAGGGGCTAAAGCAAGGAGAAGCACAAGAGAGAGGACAATTCCTATTTCTTTGAAGCAACATGAAGATAGCAAACTCCACAGGGGAGAGAGAAAGGCTTTGCTTCAAAAGCTTGAAGAGTAACAGCACAGGGCTAGCCACGCCAAACCTCACCGAGTCAATGGACGTGCAGCAATAGGCAACACAGGCAGCACCAACAGCCCCAAGCTGCCAAACTGCTGGGAGAACAGACTATGTCCGTCTTGACAACTAAAGCTCTAGAGCCGGCCTCTAACCCACACACACAGACCAGCAGCCTGACCAAAACAAGCTGCCCTTGGGCTGCAAGGGTGGAGCACGGCACCAAAGCAGCCCCGAGCAGTGCTACGCATCCCTCTCCTTCCCAGCCAGGCTCCAACACGGGACACGGGCGGGACGCAAAGGGCCACAACACCACTCCTGCGCGGACACCACCAAGGTCCTCCCGGGAGCCCAGAGCACCAACAAGAGGCACAGCTGCCTTCGCGGGCCGGCTCTCCCCAAAACACCCAGCTCGGCTGCAGGCACAGAAGCTGCCAGGGACAGACACCGCGCCCCTGAGCCCCTGACCCCTGAGCGCAGCAACCCAGAGCGGCCACTTCGGAGAGCAGCCGGACAAGGGCCTAGAGAAGGAAGATACCGGGATGCTCCGGCCGGGCCAGCAGCGACGTGGCCGAAGCCGGGCGCAGCGGGGCCGGGCAGCCGCCGCCCGCTCCCCAGCCCACCCCCGGGCCGCTCCGCTCCGCTCCGCTCCGCTCCCCTCCCAGCCGCGGCACGACCGGCCCCAGAGCCGCCCCGCTCCCCTCAGCACCCCACCCCGGCCCGGCCAGGCCCCGGCCCCCGCGCCCTGACACCCACTCGGCCCGTGCTGCTGTCGGCGGCGGCGCGGAAGCAGGGCGCAGAGCAGGCAGGGAGCCCGCCGCAGCCAGGCCCCGGCACCGCCTCGGCGCCATGGCAGCGCGGCGGGGCCTCCGGCCAGCGCTCCGGGCCGGCGGCTCGGGCTGCGGCTGCGCGGGGAGGGCCGCAAACTGAAAGGCGGCGGCCGGGGCTACGCTCTTCCTCCGCGGAGCCGGGGCAGGCGGCGGGGCTGCCGCGGGGCCCGCTCCGGGGCCCGGGGCCGGGGCCGGGGCCGGCAGGCAGGGGAGGGTGCAGAGGAGGGCGGCGGCCGCCGGGTGTTCGTCTGCAGCACCGAAGCTGCTGCAGGAGGAGTCAGGGTCTTCCTCTGCCGCCTCGTCAGCGAGAAGGAGCTCGGAGGTGCTCCGAGGGACAGCTCTCCTTCCAACTGCTTGGGACAGGCTGCTGGCTGACATGCCTTGCCAAGCTCTAATTCAGCTTTCATGCGGTTGCAGACTGAGAGCTCTGCCTGTTAGAGGGATCGACATTGGGAAGTGCCAAGATTTCAGAATATTCGCAGCTGAAGTCTTGCTCAAACCAGGAAGCCACGAACGATTCCAAAGTGTCACAGACAATTCCAAGAGCTCCTTTGGTGACGTTGTCAAGGGAAGCCTGTGAGAATGCTCACAGCTGGGTCTGGGATTTCCCTGTGGGGGCAGAAGAACCTGCCATGGGGGCACCTTGCTCAGAGCCGAAGAGGGAATGCTCCCTCTAGGGAGCATTCTCACAGGTTTCTTTTCCTCGGTTTCTTTCTATTGGCTTCCCCACTTGGGACGCTCTCCTGGCCAAGGGTTGCTCCTTCTGGCTGCCTTCTGGCCTTGGCTCACATGCACTGGGCGTGCCAGGTTCGCACGACTTCTCAAAGACGTTCATCACACTCGCCACAACCTTCTTAGCCAGCAGTGCAATTTGCTGCTCTTTGTCAAGAGGAGATGCCTCTGAAGGCTCTGCGCTTTCGGCACTTGCACATGGTCTTTCTTGGATCCCATGGGGAGGACCTTGTCAAGGGAAGCCTGTGAGAATGCTCCCTCAAGGGGAGCATTCCCTCGGTTTCATTTCTTCCAGCTTCCCCACTTGCCACACCACAACCCGAGCCACCTCTTCAATCTTCTAGCTTCTCTAGCCACCTGATCTTCTGAGGCAGCTTTGAATACACCGTCTGCGGGGATGGGTGACTTCCTCTCGGACTCGCTCACAGGATGGATGCTGCCAGGGAGCTTGGCATTTTCCCTGCCCAACTCAACGCTGGAGGGAGTCACTTTCAGCCTTCTGTACTGGCCAGAGTGGAGAAAGTTTCTTCTGCTTTTGTGGAAGGTGGGCCAGCTGGTTTTTGAGGCTGCGGTAGGCTGGCTTTCTCTTTCGTGACCAAGTACACGTTATTGGAGGAGCTCTGGCGAGAACGGTCACTCCCCGCCATCAGTCTTGCGTCAAGTTTCTTTAACTTGGCGAGCTGTTGCTGAAGCTTTTCCTGAAAGGGAACAGCAGGTTTTAGCTCACTCTTGCCTCAGAAATGCCTCGCGTCCCTGCGTGCTGAGGTTTCGTGCCGCCCAATGAGTACTGCCAGTACTCATTGAACTCCTTGAGAGAGCAGACCACCTATGGAGAGACAAGGGCAGAAAGCTCCCGAGAACTGTCAAGGTAGCTGCCAGTGGCAGGGGAGCAGCTCCTCTCCATCCTCTCCCCTCCCCAGCGCTGGGGACGCTGCCTCCCTCCGAGCCAGGGCCGAGCGGACTCCTCGCTCTGCACCAGGCCCCACAGCGGCTGCCTCCTCCATGCACAGGCAGCGCGAGGCAGCCTGAGAAGAGCAGGAGTGGGCACTGCCAGCAGGGCACTGGGGTGACGTCTGCTCCCATGGAAGGCAGCGCAGCAGCCCTGTGCCCCCCACCAGCAACAAGCGGCTGCAGCAAGCGCGCTGGCAATCATCGAATCAGCAGGGTTGGAAAAGACCTTCAAGATCATCTGCTCCAACCATCACCCTACTACCAAAATCACTAAGCACCATGTCGCTAAGCACCAGCTCCAAGCTTTCCTTACACACTCCCAGGGACTGTGGACTCCACCACTCCCCTGGGCAACCCCTTCCAAGGCCCCACCCACTACTCTTTCTCAGAAGAAATGGCTCCTAGTTTTCAAGCTAAACGTCCCCGGCGCAACTTGAGCCCATTCCCTCTAGTTATCTGCAAGAAGAGGCTGACCCCCAGCTCCCACAATTTCCTTGCTGGGAGTTGGAGAGAGCACGAAGGTCTCCCCTGAGCCTCCTCTTCTCCTGACTAAACAACCCCAGCTCCCTCAGCCGCTCCTCAGAGGACTTTTCTTCCAGGCCCTTCACCAGCCCTTCGTAGCCCTTCTCTGGACAAGTTCCAGGGCCTCGATGTCCTTCTTGGACTGAGGGGCCCAAAACTGAACACAGCACTCGAGGTGCGGCCTCTCCAGAGCACAGTGCAGGGGGAGACCATCACCTCCCTGCTCCTGCTGCCTACACTTTTTCTAATACAGGCCGGGATGCCATGGGCCTTCTTGGCCACCTGAGCACACTGCCGGCTCACATTCAGCCAAGCATCGATCAACACTCCCAGGTCCCTTTCCTCTTCACAGTCGTCTAGCCACTCTGCCCCAAGCCTATGGCACTGCAGGGGGTTATTGTGGCCAAAGTGCAAGACCTGGCCCTTGGCCTTGTTAAGCCTCATCCCATAGCCCCCACTCCCATGTTCCTCTGAGCCACTTGGGGGGAGGGTGGATGTAGAAGTGGATGGAAGGGAGAAGGTGCTTTTAGTTTGCTTTTAGTATCTCACTGCTCTAGCCCCTTTTAATAGGTAATGAATTATATTAATCTCCCTAGGCTGAGCGGGTTTTGCCCGTGATGCTAATTGGTGAGTGGCCTCCCTGTCCTTATCGCAACCCTGCAGCCCGTTTTATCCTATTTTCTCCCCCTTTCTGCTTGAGGAGGGCGAGCGAGAGAGTGCTCGTGCTGGAGTTCAGCTGCCCAGCTGGGTGACACCACCACACGGTGTAGGGAAAATCCCCAAGCACAGCACGGCCTGGCTTGAAGAAATGGAGGCACAAGCAAGCACTTGGATGTAAGCTCTTTATTTTCTGCTTCCGCCTCAGGCTACTGAGGCTTCAATGGGATCGGAGCTCAGAGCCTTGCCGCACAGCTTGGAGGAGGTCGGCTGATCTTCGGAGGTGCTCCGAGGGACAGCTCTCCTTCCAACTGCTTGGGACAGGCTGCTGGCTGACATGCCTTGCCAAGCTCTAATTCAGCTTTCATGCAGTTGCAGACTGAGAGCTCTGCCTGCGTCATCCCACTTGCCACGGTTTTGCTGTTTGAAGCAGCATCTAAGGCCTTTGCTTTCATTTCCCTCTGCACAGCTTGGAGGAGGTCGGCTGATCTTCGGAGGTGCTCCGAGGGACAGCTCTCCTTCCAACTGCTTGGGACAGGCTGCTGGCTGACATGCCTTGCCAAGCTCTAATTCAGCTTTCATGCAGTTGCAGACTGAGAGCTCTGCCTGTTAGAGGGATCGACAGTGGGAAGTGCCAAGATTTCAGAATATTCGCAGCTGAAGTCTTGCTCAAACCAGGAAGCCACAAAGGATTCCAAAGTGTCGCAGACACTTCAACAACTCCTTTGGTGACCTTGTCAAGGGATGCCTGTGAGAATGCTCTCCCCGCGCCCTGACACCCACTCGGCCCGTGCTGCTGTCGGCGGCGGCGCGGAGCAGGGCGCAGAGCAGCAGGGAGCCCGCCGCAGCCAGGCCCCGGCACCGCCTCGGCGCCATGGCAGCGCGGCGGGCCTCCGGCCAGCGCTCCGGGCCGGCGGCTCGGGCTGCGGCTGCGCGGGGAGGCCGCAACTGAAAGGCGGCGGCCGGGGCTACGCCTCTTCCTCCGCGGAGCCGGGGCAGGCGGCGGGGCTGCCGCGGGGCCCGCTCCGGGGCCCGGGGCCGGGGCCGGGGCCGGCAGGCAGGGGAGGGTGCAGAGGAGGCGGCGGCCGCCGGGTGTTCGTCTGCAGCACCGAAGCTGCTGCAGGAGGAGTCAGGTCTTCCTCTGCCGCCTCGTCAGCGAGAAGGAGCTCGGAGGTGCTCCGAGGGACAGCTCTCCTTCCAACTGCTTGGGACAGGCTGCTGGCTGACATGCCTTGCCAAGCTCTAATTCAGCTTTCATGCGGTTGCAGACTGAGAGCTCTGCCTGTTAGAGGGATCGACATTGGGAAGTGCCAAGATTTCAGAATATTCGCAGCTGAAGTCTTGCTCAAACCAGGAAGCCACGAACGATTCCAAAGTGTCACAGACAATTCCAAGAGCTCCTTTGGTGACGTTGTCAAGGGAAGCCTGTGAGAATGCTCACAGCTGGGTCTGGGATTTCCCTGTGGGGGCAGAAGAACCTGCCATGGGGGCACCTTGCTCAGAGCCGAAGAGGGAATGCTCCCTCTAGGGAGCATTCTCACAGGTTTCTTTTCCTCGGTTTCTTTTCTATTGGCTTCCCCACTTGGGACGCTCTCCTGGCCAAGGGTTGCCTCCTTCTGGCTGCCTTCTGGCCTTGGCTCACATGCACTGGGCGTGCCAGGTTCGCACGACTTCTCAAAGACGTTCATCACACTCGCCACAACCTTCTTAGCCAGCAGTGCAATTTGCTGCTCTTTGTCAAGAGGAGATGCCTCTGAAGGCTCTGCGCTTTCGGCACTTGCACATGGTCTTTCTTGGATCCCATGGGGAGACCTTGTCAAGGGAAGCCTGTGAGAATGCTCCCTCAAGGGGAGCATTCCCTCGGTTTCATTTCTTCCAGCTTCCCCACTTGCCACACCACAACCCGAGCCACCTCTTCAATCTTCTAGCTTTCTCTAGCCACCTGATCTTCTGAGGCAGCTTTGAATACACCGTCTGCGGGGATGGGTGACTTCCTCTCGGACTCGCTCACAGGATGGATGCTGCCAGGGAGCTTGGCATTTTCCCTGCCCAACTCAACGCTGGAGGGAGTCACTTTCAGCCTTCTGTACTGGCCAGAGTGGAGAAAGTTTCTTCTGCTTTTGTGGGAAGGTGGGCCAGCTGGTTTTTGAGGCTGCGGTAGGCTGGCTTTCTCTTTCGTGACCAAGTACACGTTATTGGAGGAGCTCTGGCGAGAACGGTCACTCCCCGCCATCAGTCTTGCGTCAAGTTTCTTTAATTTGGCGAGCTGTTGCTGAAGCTTTTCCTGAAAGGGAACAGCAGGTTTTAGCTCACTCTTGCCTCAGAAATGCCTCGCGTCCCTGCGTGCTGAGGTTTCGTGCCGCCCAATGAGTACTGCCAGTACTCATTGAACTCCTTGAGAGAGCAGACCACCTATGGAGAGACAAGGGCAGAAAGCTCCCGAGAACTGTCAAGGTAGCTGCCAGTGGCAGGGGAGCAGCTCCTCTCCATCCTCTCCCCTCCCCAGCGCTGGGGACGCTGCCTCCCTCCGAGCCAGGGCCGAGCGGACTCCTCGCTCTGCACCAGGCCCCACAGCGGCTGCCTCCTCCATGCACAGGCAGCGCGAGGCAGCCTGAGAAGAGCAGGAGTGGGCACTGCCAGCAGGGCACTGGGGTGACGTCTGCTCCCATGGAAGGCAGCGCAGCAGCCCTGTGCCCCCCACCAGCAACAAGCGGCTGCAGCAAGCGCGCTGGCAATCATCGAATCAGCAGGGTTGGAAAAGACCTTCAAGATCATCTGCTCCAACCATCACCCTACTACCAATGTCACTAAGCACCATGTCGCTAAGCACCAGCTCCAAGCTTTCCTTACACACCCCCAGGGACGGTGACTCCGCCACTCCCCTGGGCAACCCCTTCCAAGGCCCCACTACTCTTTCTCAGAAGAAATGGCTCCTAGTTTTCAAGCTAAACGTCCCCGGCACAACTTGAGCCCCTTCCCTCTAGTTATCTGCAAGAAGAGGCTGACCCCCAGCTCCCCACAATTTCCTTGCTGGGAGTTGGAGAGAGCACGAAGGTCTCCCCTGAGCCTCCTCTTCTCCTGACTAAACAACCCCAGCTCCCTCAGCCGCTCCTCAGAGGACTTTTCTTCCAGGCCCTTCACCAGCCCTTCGTAGCCCTTCTCCGGACAAGTTCCAGGGCCTCGATGTCCTTCTTGGACTGAGGGGCCCAAAACTGAACACAGCACTCGAGGTGCGGCCTCTCCAGAGCACAGTGCAGGGGGAGACCATCACCTCCCTGCTCCTGCTGCCTACACTTTTTCTAATACAGGCCGGGATGCCATGGGCCATCTTGGCCACCTGAGCACACTGCCGGCTCACGTTCAGCCAAGCATCGATCAACACTCCCAGGTCCCTTTCCTCTTCACAGTCGTCTAGCCACTCTGCCCCAAGCCTATGGCACTGCAGGGGGTTATTGTGGCCAAAGTGCAAGACCTGGCCCTTGGCCTTGTTAAGCCTCATCCCATAGCCCCCACTCCCATGTTCCTCTGAGCCACTTGGGGGGAGGGTGGATGTAGAAGTGGGTGGAAGGGAGAAGGTGCTTTTAGTTTGCTTTTAGTATCTCACTGCTCTAGCCCCTTTTAATAGGTAATGAATTATATTAATCTCCCTAGGCTGAGCGGGTTTTGCCCGTGATGCTAATTGGTGAGTGGCCTCCCTGTCCTTATCGCAACCCTGCAGCCCGTTTTATCCTATTTTCTCCCCCTTTCTGCTTGAGGAGGGCGAGCGAGAGAGTGCTCGTGCTGGAGTTCAGCTGCCCAGCTGGGTGACACCACCACACGGTGTAGGGAAAATCCCCAAGCACAGCACGGCCTGGCTTGAAGAAATGGAGGCACAAGCAAGCACTTGGATGTAAGCTCTTTATTTTCTGCTTCCGCCTCAGGCTACTGAGGCTTCAATGGGATCGGAGCTCAGAGCCTTGCCGCACAGCTTGGAGGAGGTCGGCTGATCTTCGGAGGTGCTCCGAGGGACAGCTCTCCTTCCAACTGCTTGGGACAGGCTGCTGGCTGACATGCCTTGCCAAGCTCTAATTCAGCTTTCATGCAGTTGCAGACTGAGAGCTCTGCCTGCGTCATCCCACTTGCCACGGTTTTGCTGTTTGAAGCAGCATCTAAGGCCTTTGCTTTCATTTCCCTCTGCACAGCTTGGAGGAGGTCGGCTGATCTTCGGAGGTGCTCCGAGGGACAGCTCTCCTTCCAACTGCTTGGGACAGGCTGCTGGCTGACATGCCTTGCCAAGCTCTAATTCAGCTTTCATGCGGTTGCAGACTGAGAGCTCTGCCTATTAGAGGGATCGACATTGGGAAGTGCCAAGATTTCAGAATATTCGCAGCTGAAGTCTTGCTCAAACCAGGAAGCCATGAACGATTCCAAAGTGTCACAGACAATTCCAAGAGCTCCTTTGGTGACGTTGTCAAGGAAGCCTGTGAGAATGCTCACAGCTGGGTCTGGGATTTCTCTGTGGGGGCAGAAGAACCTGCCATGGGGGCACCTTGCTCAGAGCCGAAGAGGGAATGCTCCCTCTAGGGAGCATTCTCACAGGTTTCTTTTCCTCGGTTTCTTTTCTATTGGCTTCCCCACTTGGGACGCTCTCCTGGCCAAGGGTTGCTCCTTCTGGCTGCCTTCTGGCCTTGGCTCACATGCACTGGCGTGCCAGGTTCGCACGACTTCTCAAAGACGTTCATCACACTCGCCACAACCTTCTTAGCCAGCAGTGCAATTTGCTGCTCTTTGTCAAGAGGAGATGCCTCTGAAGGCTCTGCGCTTTCGGCACTTGCACATGGTCTTTCTTGGATCCCATGGGGAGACCTTGTCAAGGGAAGCCTGTGAGAATGCTCCCTCAAGGGCTTCCCTCGGTTTCATTTCTTCCAGCTTCCCCACTTGCCACACCACAACCCGAGCCACCTCTTCAATCTTCTAGCTTTCTCTAGCCACCTGATCTTCTGAGGCAGCTTTGAATACACCGTCTGCGGGGATGGGTGTCTTCCTCTCGGACTCGCTCACAGGATGGATGCTGCCAGGGAGCTTGGCATTTTCCCTGCCCAACTCAACGCTGGAGGGAGTCACTTTCAGCCTTCTGTACTGGCCAGAGTGGAGAAAGTTTCTTCTGCTTTTGTGGGAAGGTGGGCCAGCTGGTTTTTGAGGCTGCGGTAGGCTGGCTTTCTCTTTCGTGACCAAGTACACGTTATTGGAGGAGCTCTGGCGAGAACGGTCACTCCCCGCCATCAGTCTTGCGTCAAGTTTCGTTAACTTGGCGAGCTGTTGCTGAAGCTTTTCCTGAAAGGGAACAGCAGGTTTTAGCTCACTCTTGCCTCAGAAATGCCTCGCGTCCCTGCATGCTGAGGTTTCGTGCCGCCCAATGAGTACTGCCAGTACTCATTGAACTCCTTGAGAGAGCAGACCACCTATGGAGAGACAAGGGCAGAAAGCTCCCGAGAACTGTCAAGGTAGCTGCCAGTGGCAGGGGAGCAGCTCCTCTCCATCCTCTCCCCTCCCCAGCGCTGGGGACGCTGCCTCCCTCCGAGCCAGGGCCGAGCGGACTCCTTGCTCTGCACCAGGCCCCACAGCGGCTGCCTCCTCCATGCACAGGCAGCGCGAGGCAGCCTGAGAAGAGCAGGAGTGGGCACTGCCAGCAGGGCGCTGGGGTGACGTCTGCTCCCATGGAAGGCAGCGCAGCAGCCCTGTGCCCCCCACCAGCAACAAGCGGCTGCAGCAAGCGCGCTGGCAATCATCGAATCAGCAGGGTTGGAAAAGACCTTCAAGATCATCTGCTCCAACCATCACCCTACTACCAATGTCACTAAGCACCATGTCGCTAAGCACCAGCTCCAAGCTTTCCTTACACACCCCCAGGGACGGTGACTCCGCCACTCCCCTGGGCAACCCCTTCCAAGGCCCCACTACTCTTTCTCAGAAGAAATGGCTCCTAGTTTTCAAGCTAAACGTCCCCGGCACAACTTGAGCCCATTCCCTCTAGTTATCTGCAAGAAGAGGCTGACCCCCAGCTCCCCACAATTTCCTTGCTGGGAGTTGGAGAGAGCACGAAGGTCTCCCCTGAGCCTCCTCTTCTCCTGACTAAACAACCCCAGCTCCCTCAGCCGCTCCCCAGAGGACTTTTCTTCCAGGCCCTTCACCAGCCCTTCGTAGCCCTTCTCCGGACAAGTTCCAGGGCCTCGATGTCCTTCTTGGACTGAGGGGCCCAAAACTGAACACAGCACTCGAGGTGCGGCCTCTCCAGAGCACAGTGCAGGGGGAGACCATCACCTCCCTGCTCCTGCTGCCTACACTTTTCTAATACAGGCCGGGATGCCATGGGCCTTCTTGGCCACCTGAGCACACTGCCGGCTCACGTTCAGCCAAGCATCGATCAACACTCCCAGGTCCCTTTCCTCTTCACAGTCGTCTAGCCACTCTGCCCCAAGCCTATGGCACTGCAGGGGGTTATTGTGGCCAAAGTGCAAGACCTGGCCCTTGGCCTTGTTAAGCCTCATCCCATAGCCCCCACTCCCATGTTCCTCTGAGCCACTTGGGGGGAGGGTGGATGTAGAAGTGGGTGGAAGGGAGAAGGTGCTTTTAGTTTGCTTTTAGTATCTCACTGCTCTAGCCCCTTTCAATAGGTATTAAATTATATTAATCTCCCTATGCTAGGTGTTTTGCCCGTGATGCTAATTGGTGAGTGGTCTCCCTGTCCTTATTGCAACCCTGCAGCCCGTTTTATCCTATCTTCTCCCCCTTTCTGCTTGAGGAGGGCGAGCGAGAGAGTGCTCGTGCTGGAGTTCAGCTGCCCAGCTGGGTGACACCACCACACGGTGTAGGGAAAATCCCCAAGCACAGCACGGCCTGGCTTGAAGAAATGGAGGCACAAGCAAGCACTTGGATGTAAGCTCTTTATTTTCTGCTTCCGCCTCAGGCTACTGAGGCTTCAATGGGATCGGTCTGACACGCACGCGTATCCTCCGTGCTCCGCTCTGGGCAGGCTGCTTCGGAACAGATGGAGGAGCCGGCTGCCTGAGAAACTGTGGGCCCGTGGGAGGGATGGTGCCTGTGGTGCTCTTGGACCTCAGCTGGGTCTGGGATTCCCCTGTGGGGGCAGAAGAGCCTGCCATGGGAGCACCTTGCTCAGAGCCTCTTCGGAGGTGCTCCGAGGGACGGCTCTCCTTCCCATTGCTTGGCACAGACTGTTTGCTGACACGCCTTCCCAAGTTCTTCTCCAGCTTCCGTGCAGTCACAGACTGAGAGCTCTGCTCCGATAAGCAGCGCGTCATCCCGCTTGCCACAGTTTTGCTGCTTGAAACGGCGTCTAAGGCCTTTGCTTTCATTTCCCTCTCCATCTTGTCCTTCACTTCTTCAATCACATTAAGGACAATGGTTCTGGCATAGGCCTGCAGTTCTGTGTGCAGACGCTGAACTTCGGAGGCAGCCTTTTGGATGCTCTCCCTCACACTCCTGCAACTCAGGCGTGAGACCTCATCAGTGTCTGGCACTGGTGGGATCATGGGCAACGTTTCTCCCGGCCTTGCTTCTGGGCTCTGCTCTTCTGATGCTGTTTGTAGTCCCTGCCCTTCCCTCATGCCCTCCCGTGAGAGAGGCCCCTGGGATGGCTGTGGCTGCCTGTTGGAGGCATCAACAGTGGGAAGCGCCACGATTTCAGAATACTTGCAGTTGAAGTCTTGCTCAACCCGGGAAGCCACGAAGGATTCCAAAGTGTCGCAGACACTTCCAACAGCTTCTTTGGTGACCTTGTCAAGGGAAGCCTGTGAGAATGCTCCCTCAAGGGCTTCCCTTGGTTTCTTTTCTTCTGGCTTCCCCACGTGGGACGCTCTCCTGGCCAAGGGCTGCTCCTTCTGGCTGGCTTCTGGCCTTGGCTCAGATGCACTGGGCGTGCCGGATTCCCAGAACTTCTCAACGGCCTTCATCACGCTCGCCACAACCTTCTTAGACAGCAGTGCAATTTGCTGCTCTTTGTCAAGAGGAGATGCCTCTGAAGGCATCTCGCTTTCGGCACTTGCACACGGTCTTTCTTGGATCCCATGGGGAGACCTCTTCAAGACGCAGACAGACTGGTCCAGTGCCTGCACCCTCTCAAACACTTGCCGCACCACTGCCCGAGCCACCTCTTCAATCCTCTGGCTTTCTCTAGCAGCCTGTTCTTCCGAGGCAGCTTTGAATACACCGTCTGCGGGGACGGGTGACTCTCTCTCGGACTCAGTAACAGCACGGATGCTCTCAGGGAGCTTGGCATCTTCCCTGCCCAACTCAACGCTGGAGGGAGTCACTTTCAGCCTTCTGTACTGGCCAGATTGGGGAAAGTTTCTTCTGCTTTTGTGTGAAGGTGGGCCAGCTGGTTTTTGAGGCTGCAGTAGGCTGGCTTTCCCTTTCGTGACCAAGTACACATTACTGGAGGAGCTCTGGCGAGAACGGTCGCTCCCCGCCATCAGTCTTGCGTCAAGTTTCTTTAACTTGGCGAGCTGTTGCTGAAGCTTTTCCTGAAATGGAACAGCAGGTTCTAGATCACTCTTGCCTCAGAAATGACTCGTGTCCCTGCGTGCTGAGGTTTCATGCCACCCATGCCAGTGCCCTGCTTCTGCCACGCAACGAGGGCTGAAGAGAAGGGCTTCCCTCAGGGCTCTGTATGCTTGCAAGTAGCTTTCCTGATCCACCCCCCCTACACACACACACACACACACCTCACCCCCCCTCCAGTAGCTTGCGCTAGCTGAGCTTGGGGCTGGGTCATCCTTTCCCTACCACAACACCTGGCCCTCCAGCACATTTTCTGTATTCCCCACCTCCCTCAGATCCAACAAGGAAAGCCCCAGCCTTCTGTACCGTGCCACTGACATGTGTCTGCTGAGCTTTGCCTACCTCTTCTTGCCTCTTGATTTTCTCCGCTTCCAGCTTGAGCGTGGTCAAATACTGCCTGTACTCATTGAACTCCTTGAGAGAGCAGACCACCTATGGAGAGACAAGGGCAGAAAGCTCCCGAGAACTGTCGAGGTAGCTGCCAGTGGCAGGGGAGCAGCTCCTCTCCATCCTCTCCCCTCCCCAGCGCTGGGGACGCTGCCTCCCTCCGAGCCAGGGCCGAGCGGACTCCTCGCTCTGCACCAGGCCCCACAGCGGCTGCCTCCTCCATGCACAGGCAGCGCGAGGCAGCCTGAGAAGAGCAGGAGTGGGCACTGCCAGCAGGGCACTGGGGTGACGTCTGCTCCCATGGAAGGCAGCGCAGCAGCCCTGTGGCCCCCACCAGCAACAAGCGGCTGCAGCAAGCGCGCTGGCAATCATCGAATCAGCAGGGTTGGAAAAGACCTTCAAGATCATCTGCTCCAACCATCACCCTACTACCAATGTCGCTAAGCACCATGTCTCCAAGCTTTCCTTAAACACCCCCAGGGACGGTGACTCCGCCACTCCCCTGGGCAACCCCTTCCAAGGCCCCACTACTCTTTCTCAGAAGAAATGGCTCCTAGTTTTCAAGCTAAACGTCCCCGGCACAACTTGAGCCCATTCCCTCTAGTTATCTGCAAGAAGAGGCTGACCCCCAGCTCCCCACAATTTCCTTGCTGGGAGTTGGAGAGAGCACGAAGGTCTCCCCTGAGCCTCCTCTTCTCCTGACTAAACAACCCCAGCTCCCTCAGCCGCTCCTCAGAGGACTTTTTCTTCCAGGCCCTTCACCAGCCCTTCGTAGCCCTTCTCCGGACAAGTTCCAGGGCCTCGATGTCCTTCTTGGACTGAGGGGCCCAAAACTGAACACAGCACTCGAGGTGCGGCCTCTCCAGAGCACAGTGCAGGGGGAGACCATCACCTCCCTGCTCCTGCTGGCTACGCTATTCCTGAGACAAGCCAGGATGCTGTTGGCCTTCTTGGCCACCTGGGCACGCTGCCGGCTCATGTTGAGGCAAGCATCAATCAGCACCCCCAGATCCTTTTCCTCGGCACAGTTTTTGAGCCACTCTGCCCCAAGCCTTTAGCGCTGCACGGGGTTGTTGTGGCAAAAGTGCAGGAACTGGCACTGAGCCGTGTTAAACCTCATCCCATTGGCCTCTGCCAGAGGAGACCTGTGCTGGTCAGCGCAACGTCCAAACCTACTTTGCCGCTGCTGGTGATGAAGCCCTTGCTCTTCAGGCTCTGCAGGCTGTCTTTGTGATTGTAGTAGGCCTGCAGATGCGGGTCGTGCAGGCAGTTGTACTCTGTGCGCAGTAGGCGACAATATGGATCTTCCAGATGAAACTGAGCGGAAGGCTGGTGCAGCTGCAAGAGAGGTGGTCCAGAGTATGAATGGGGCAGGAGAAAGCAGCACAGAGACAAAGGCACTTCCAAGCTCCTCATGCACACGGGCTAGCCTTTGCCAACCTCTGCGCTAGAGGTTTCTGATTCTGGGCTTACTTCCCGGCTGGACCTTCCTTCTGAAGCCATCAAAAACACCCCCACCAGGCCTGGGCTGAGGGTCCGGCCTGGGCTGGGGAGAGAAGGCCAAACCCCACCAGCAAAGTAGGCATCTTGGGCCACCGGCTAGAAATGTCTCTGTGCTGCGGAGCCGCGAGCATCTGTCCCTGACTCCTCCACCCGCTTGGACCAAAGTGCTGGAGCTCCAACCATTGCGCAGGTGGCCCCAAGGCCTTCTTGGAACGATGGGGAGGGAGCCCGTGACACAAGAGACCTTTGCCACCCCTTCCACCCCTTCCTCCTTCTCTTACCTTTTCCCCCAGCTTTGTTCTGTAGAAGACAGGCTTGGTGCCTGGCAGCAGAGGGATTTTGACTCCGAGTGGGAGGTCCAGCAGCCCGCTACCTCCTTCTCCAAGTCCCCATCTGTGCCAGAGCTAGAAAGACAGGGACACTCAGACACTCAGGCACTCCAATCCCTTCTGCAGCCCACCCCTGCACCCCCCTGCAGCTCTCTTCCCACTTGCTAGCAGTACGCTGCCCGGGATGGGCAGAGAGAGGCACGTCTCCCTGCAAGCCTCCTGTGGCCTGACCACGTTTAGACCCCCCCCAGCTTCCTGGGAGCATCCTCTGGCACCAGAGCACTCCCGCACGCCCCGGGCTCCTGCTCTGAGCCCTCTCCTCGGGCACAGCGCTCACCTCTCCGTACTTCTCAGCTATGCCCAGCAGTGCGTCTGGGTTTTGGGAACTAGCAGTGCCATGCTGCTCCATGGCTCCTTCCAAGAGCTCTACAGGAGCTGCGACCCTCTGCTAGCACCTCTCACTCCAGAGGCAGACAGCTGCGTCTGTCCCAGGCGGTTTCCCAGCGAGCGCCTTTATATAGCGCTCAAGCATTGTTACATCATCGCATTGCCATGGCACCACCTATGACGTATGCCCTGGCTACCTGTTACATCATCGCGTTGCCATGGCACCACCTATGACGTATGCTCTGGCTACCTGCAGGCGCTTCTGGTCACGCTGGTGGGCAAGCCACTGCAGCCGAGCCTGGATTATTAATTAGGGTAAGGGTTAGGGCTGTTGGTGTTTGGAGAGGGAGAAAGCACCGAGTCCTGTTGTGTCTGGGATTGCTTAAAGGGTTGATAAGGGAGCTCAGGTCCAACTAAAGACTTCCTTTGTGAGCTCTTTTGATGGGAGAAATTGGCGACGTACAGTTCTGTTATGGTCCCAGTTACGGTTAGGGTTAGTGTTGTTACTGTGTGGAGAGAGAGAAAGCGCAGAGTGAGTTTTGGGTGACATCAAATCCCACATTACCATACCTTAGCATTTTGATGAGTGTGATTTTTAATATGTTAATGACCTTTAATGAGCAAAAGGCTACTGTAGGTCAGCCTGGAGCTGTCTTTCTCCTTCTTGTTTTTACCTTTTATCCCTTATCTTCCTTGCTTCTGCTAGGCTTCTAGCCAATCTGCCCCAAGCCTATGGCACTGCAGGGGGTTATTGTGGCCAAAGTGCAAGACCTGGCCCTTGGCCTTGTTAGACCTCATCCCATAGCCCCCACTCCCATGTTCCTCTGAGCCACTTGGGGGGAGGGTGGATGTAGAAGTGGATGGAAGGGAGAAGGTGCTTTTAGTTTGCTTTTAGTATCTCACTGCTCTAGCCCCTTTTAATAGGTAATGAATTATATTAATCTCCCTAGGCTGAGCGGGTTTTGCCCGTGATGCTAATTGGTGAGTGGCCTCCCTGTCCTTATCGCAACCCTGCAGCCCGTTTTATCCTATTTTCTCCCCCTTTCTGCTTGAGGAGGGCGAGCGAGAGAGTGCTCGTGCTGGAGTTCAGCTGCCCAGCTGGGTGACACCACCACACGGTGTAGGGAAAATCCCCAAGCACAGCACGGCCTGGCTTGAAGAAATGGAGGCACAAGCAAGCACTTGGATGTAAGCTCTTTATTTTCTGCTTCCGCCTCAGGCTACTGAGGCTTCAATGGGATCGGAGCTCAGAGCCTTGCCGCACAGCTTGGAGGAGGTCGGCTGATCTTCGGAGGTGCTCCGAGGGACAGCTCTCCTTCCAACTGCTTGGGACAGGCTGCTGGCTGACATGCCTTGCCAAGCTCTAATTCAGCTTTCATGCAGTTGCAGACTGAGAGCTCTGCCTGCGTCATCCCACTTGCCACGGTTTTGCTGTTTGAAGCAGCATCTAAGGCCTTTGCTTTCATTTCCCTCTGCACAGCTTGGAGGAGGTCGGCTGATCTTCGGAGGTGCTCCGAGGGACAGCTCTCCTTCCAACTGCTTGGGACAGGCTGCTGGCTGACATGCCTTGCCAAGCTCTAATTCAGCTTTCATGCAGTTGCAGACTGAGAGCTCTGCCTGTTAGAGGGATCGACAGTGGGAAGTGCCAAGATTTCAGAATATTCGCAGCTGAAGTCTTGCTCAAACCAGGAAGCCACAAAGGATTCCAAAGTGTCGCAGACACTTCAACAACTCCTTTGGTGACCTTGTCAAGGGATGCCTGTGAGAATGCTCTCCCCGCGCCCTGACACCCACTCGGCCCGTGCTGCTGTCGGCGGCGGCGCGGAGCAGGGCGCAGAGCAGCAGGGAGCCCGCCGCAGCCAGGCCCCAGCACCGCCTCGGCGCCATGGCAGCGCGGCGGGCCTCCGGCCAGCGCTCCGGGCCGGCGGCTCGGGCTGCGGCTGCGCGGGGAGGCCGCAACTGAAAGGCGGCGGCCGGGGCTACGCCTCTTCCTCCGCGGAGCCGGGGCAGGCGGCGGGGCTGCCGCGGGGCCCGCTCCGGGGCCCGGGGCCGGGGCCGGGGCCGGCAGGCAGGGGAGGGTGCAGAGGAGGCGGCGGCCGCCGGGTGTTCGTCTGCAGCACCGAAGCTGCTGCAGGAGGAGTCAGGTCTTCCTCTGCCGCCTCGTCAGCGAGAAGGAGCTCGGAGGTGCTCCGAGGGACAGCTCTCCTTCCAACTGCTTGGGACAGGCTGCTGGCTGACATGCCTTGCCAAGCTCTAATTCAGCTTTCATGCGGTTGCAGACTGAGAGCTCTGCCTGTTAGAGGGATCGACATTGGGAAGTGCCAAGATTTCAGAATATTCGCAGCTGAAGTCTTGCTCAAACCAGGAAGCCACGAACGATTCCAAAGTGTCACAGACAATTCCAAGAGCTCCTTTGGTGACGTTGTCAAGGGAAGCCTGTGAGAATGCTCACAGCTGGGTCTGGGATTTCCCTGTGGGGGCAGAAGAACCTGCCATGGGGGCACCTTGCTCAGAGCCGAAGAGGGAATGCTCCCTCTAGGGAGCATTCTCACAGGTTCTTTTCCTCGGTTTCTTTTCTATTGGCTTCCCCACTTGGGACGCTCTCCTGGCCAAGGGTTGCTCCTTCTGGCTGCCTTCTGGCCTTGGCTCACATGCACTGGGCGTGCCAGGTTCGCACGACTTCTCAAAGACGTTCATCACACTCGCCACAACCTTCTTAGCCAGCAGTGCAATTTGCTGCTCTTTGTCAAGAGGAGATGCCTCTGAAGGCTCTGCGCTTTCGGCACTTGCACATGGTCTTTCTTGGATCCCATGGGGAGACCTTGTCAAGGGAAGCCTGTGAGAATGCTCCCTCAAGGGGAGCATTCCCTCGGTTTCATTTCTTCCAGCTTCCCCACTTGCCACACCACAACCCGAGCCACCTCTTCAATCTTCTAGCTTTCTCTAGCCACCTGATCTTCTGAGGCAGCTTTGAATACACCGTCTGCGGGGATGGGTGACTTCCTCTCGGACTCGCTCACAGGATGGATGCTGCCAGGGAGCTTGGCATTTTCCCTGCCCAACTCAACGCTGGAGGGAGTCACTTTCAGCCTTCTGTACTGGCCAGAGTGGAGAAAGTTTCTTCTGCTTTTGTGGGAAGGTGGGCCAGCTGGTTTTTGAGGCTGCGGTAGGCTGGCTTTCTCTTTCGTGACCAAGTACACGTTATTGGAGGAGCTCTGGCGAGAACGGTCACTCCCCGCCATCAGTCTTGCGTCGTTTCTTTAACTTGGCGAGCTGTTGCTGAAGCTTTTCCTGAAAGGGAACAGCAGGTTTTAGCTCACTCTTGCCTCAGAAATGCCTCGCGTCCCTGCGTGCTGAGGTTTCGTGCCGCCCAATGAGTACTGCCAGTACTCATTGAACTCCTTGAGAGAGCAGACCACCTATGGAGAGACAAGGGCAGAAAGCTCCCGAGAACTGTCAAGGTAGCTGCCAGTGGCAGGGGAGCAGCTCCTCTCCATCCTCTCCCCTCCCCAGCGCTGGGGACGCTGCCTCCCTCCGAGCCAGGGCCGAGCGGACTCCTCGTTCTGCACCAGGCCCCACAGCGGCTGCCTCCTCCATGCACAGGCAGCGCGAGGCAGCCTGAGAAGAGCAGGAGTGGGCACTGCCAGCAGGGCGCTGGGGTGACGTCTGCTCCCATGGAAGGCAGCGCAGCAGCCCTGTGGCCCCCACCAGCAACAAGCGGCTGCAGCAAGCGCGCTGGCAATCATCGAATCAGCAGGGTTGGAAAAGACCTTCAAGATCATCTGCTCCAACCATCACCCTACTACCAATGTCACTAAGCACCATGTCGCTAAGCACCAGCTCCAAGCTTTCCTTACACACCCCCAGGGACGGTGACTCCGCCACTCCCCTGGGCAACCCCTTCCAAGGCCCCACTACTCTTTCTCAGAAGAAATGGCTCCTAGTTTTCAAGCTAAACGTCCCCGGCACAACTTGAGCCCATTCCCTCTAGTTATCTGCAAGAAGAGGCTGACCCCCAGCTCCCCACAATTTCCTTGCTGGGAGTTGGAGAGAGCACGAAGGTCTCCCCTGAGCCTCCTCTTCTCCTGACTAAACAACCCCAGCTCCCTCAGCCGCTCCCCAGAGGACTTTTCTTCCAGGCCCTTCACCAGCCCTTCGTAGCCCTTCTCCGGACAAGTTCCAGGGCCTCGATGTCCTTCTTGGACTGAGGGGCCCAAAACTGAACACAGCACTCGAGGTGCGGCCTCTCCAGAGCACAGTGCAGGGGGAGACCATCACCTCCCTGCTCCTGCTGCCTACACTTTTTCTAATACAGGCCGGGATGCCATGGGCCTTCTTGGCCACCTGAGCACACTGCCGGCTCACGTTCAGCCAAGCATCGATCAACACTCCCAGGTCCCTTTCCTCTTCACAGTCGTCTAGCCACTCTGCCCCAAGCCTATGGCACTGCAGGGGGTTATTGTGGCCAAAGTGCAAGACCTGGCCCTTGGCCTTGTTAAGCCTCATCCCATAGCCCCCACTCCCATGTTCCTCTGAGCCACTTGGGGGGAGGGTGGATGTAGAAGTGGGTGGAAGGGAGAAGGTGCTTTTAGTTTGCTTTTAGTATCTCACTGCTCTAGCCCCTTTCAATAGGTATTAAATTATATTAATCTCCCTATGCTAGGTGTTTTGCCCGTGATGCTAATTGGTGAGTGGTCTCCCTGTCCTTATTGCAACCCTGCAGCCCGTTTTATCCTATCTTCTCCCCCTTTCTGCTTGAGGAGGGCGAGTGAGAGAGGGCTCGTGGCGGACTTCAGCTGCCCAGCTGGGTGACACCACCACACGGTGTAGGGAAAATCCCCAAGCACAGCACGGCCTGGCTTGAAGAAATGGAGGCACAAGCAAGCACTTGGATGTAAGCTCTTTATTTTCTGCTTCCGCCTCAGGCTACTGAGGCTTCAATGGGATCGGTCTGACACGCACGCGTATCCTCCGTGCTCCGCTCTGGGCAGGCTGCTTCGGAACAGATGGAGGAGCCGGCTGCCTGAGAAACTGTGGGCCCGTGGGAGGGATGGTGCCTGTGGTGCTCTTGGACCTCAGCTGGGTCTGGGATTCCCCTGTGGGGGCAGAAGAGCCTGCCATGGGAGCACCTTGCTCAGAGCCTCTTCGGAGGTGCTCCGAGGGACGGCTCTCCTTCCCATTGCTGGGCACAGACTGTTTGCTGACACGCCTTCCCAAGTTCTTCTCCAGCTTCCGTGCAGTCACAGACTGAGAGCTCTGCTCCGATAAGCAGCGCGTCATCCCGCTTGCCACAGTTTTGCTGCTTGAAACGGCGTCTAAGGCCTTTGCTTTCATTTCCCTCTCCATCTTGTCCTTCACTTCTTCAATCACATTAAGGACAATGGTTCTGGCATAGGCCTGCAGTATGCCCTGCTACCTGTTACATCATTGCGTTGTCATGGCACCACCTATGACGTATGCCCTGGCTACCTGTTACATCATCGCGTTGCCATGGCACCACCTATGACGTATGCTCTGGCTACCTGCAGGCGCTTCTGGTCACGCTGGTGGGCAAGCCACTGCAGCCGAGCCTGGATTATTAATTAGGGTAAGGGTTAGGGCTGTTGGTGTTTGGAGAGGGAGAAAGCACCGAGTCCTGTTGTGTCTGGGATTGCTTAAAGGGTTGATAAGGGAGCTCAGGTCCAACTAAAGACTTCCTTTGTGAGCTCTTTTGATGGGAGAAATTGGCGACGTACAGTTCTGTTATGGTCCCAGTTACGGTTAGGGTTAGTGTTGTTACTGTGTGGAGAGAGAGAAAGCGCAGAGTGAGTTTTGGGTGACATCAAATCCCACATTACCATACCTTAGCATTTTGATGAGTGTGATTTTTAATATGTTAATGACCTTTAATGAGCAAAAGGCTACTGTAGGTGAGTTTTTCTCCTTCTTGTTGTTTACCTTTTATCCCTTATCTTCCTTGCTTCTGCTAACTCAAGGCTACCTGTCTCTTACTTTCAGCTAAAAGACTATACAAGCTATAGAAAGACTACAAAAGCTACAGGCCTCCCAATTTTCTTCAAAGTTTTCTTATTTCTTCCCAGCTTTGGGACTACAGTTTCCCCCCTTTGAGACTATGAACCTCACTTTTAGGCTTCATAATTCTCATTGCATAGTTCTTGTCCATTTCCATTAATTTGAAGAAATTCTCAGTTACCTATATCTTGTTTCACTATCGTTACCTGGTGAGGTGTGCGCTTGCTGAATAAAGTACTATATGAATTCAAACAAGTAGGCGTGCATCACAGAACACAACCACATATCACTACTATTGCTACAGTTAGTATAATAATTAAAAACAGTTGTCTTAACCATCCAAAACCTGGCAACCACAACCACAGCCAGGAAGAATCTGGTCCACTACCATTGTTGCATCCTGAAATATTTGGTGAAACAGGTGAGATGCTTGCCAGATTTGGTTAATGTCTGTTTTAATTTGCTTCTTCTCATTTACATAGACACAGCAGCTGTAGTTTATCACAGCACAAACACCTCCCCGGGCTGCCAGTAGCCCATCTAAGGCAAGATGGTTTTCTAAGGCTATTTGGGATACTTGTTCTATTTCTGTTTGTATTCAACCAAGAGCATCAGTAGTGGCATTGCTTATGATTTCTAAAGTTGCAGAAATATTTACTGTTTTCCGCACCAGAAATGCTTGCTTCTTGGCTGAATGTTCAGTGACGGAGCCTTCAGCAGCTCTGAGAGACAGTTTTGGCGGCAGGTCATGTCTTCACCTATTGCCCTGATTTCCTCAGGAAAATACCTGTGGAATCAGGCTGCTGCCTGCAGCTGCTGGGCTTCCCACTCCCCTTGGCCCTGCCTTCTGCCATACGTCTCCTTTGGGCTCTCCCCATCCCTCCTGCGAGGCGACAGGCAATGCAGGAGGCTTTGCAGCAGCGCGCAAGGGTTTCTCGCTACCGCTCCTAGCTTTCTCCTCTGTCCTGCCGCCTCTTCTCTCCTACCTGTTTCTTCTGCTCCGGGGTGCCTTTTTCATGGCCGCAGTCCCCAAGAAGCATGGAGAGCCTCCTGCCCAGAGTGCCTTCCCTGGCCTCACTTCTGCAGGGTCCCCTTCCACAGGCCTCCTCCTGTGTCTTTGCTGTCCCCTCCGGTGTCTGCCTCCCTCTGAGTGCCCTCCTGGCCCAGCCCACGCATCCTCACATTTCTGCTCCTGCCTGCTGCCCGAGCCGCTGCCACCCGTTGTCACACAGGAGAAAGCAGCGGTGCCAGGGGCTCCTCTGATTGCTCTCGACTCCGGTGCCACAGGCAGCCCTTGCTGAGCCAGCTGGAACTGTCTGGAACTGGCCCCCGTGCCTCCAGGCCGACCCCCCTCCGACAGCCACGCAGACAGGCCGGTTATAAATGAAGTCTCAACTCAATCTGAATTTAGTAATATTTATAAAAGAAATATTTATAAAAAGTATAAAAGGCAGGTAAACAGCGCTGGGTGTGCGGGGAGTCTACGCTCCACCAACACGCACACACGAACATCAGACATTCTAAATATACAGAACATTGCTTTACATACTAAAACCGAGTATGCCTGCACATACGTACAATCAGGAAAGGTAACAAGCAATCCTTTAAGTTCCATGACTTAACGGTGTCCATTTTCCATTCCTTTTCTTGATTACTAACAGGTCTCCATTTTCCATTCTGTTTGAACAATATGTCTCGCTTTAAGTTGTCAAGCAATTTGGACTTCGGACCTTATGTGTCCCGTTCTTCCCGGATCAAAGAAAAGCATAGCCATCTCCTTGTGAAGGCCAAGAGGCCTGGGTCAAAAGGCACGTCCAGGTCAGCAGGGGGCGAAACAGCAAAGGCCTGAGATGGCTGTAGCAGCAGAGGGGCCGATGGCATAGCAGTCGGATCAGTAAAGGAGCCTGCAGCTCCCTCACTGTCTGGCAAACCACACGTTTCTGACTGTGGTCCCACAGGGCTCTTTAAGGCCTCAGGGACTGCTCGCCAGGTGCCGAGCAATCCCACTGCAACCTTGTCGTTTCCAGTTGCAGAGTCCCACACCTTGACCTCAGTTTGGTCCCATTTTTCAGGCTCATAAACTGTCCGATTGTTAACAAGGAGAATGAGCTGTAAGGTTACCAGGACAGTCTTTGTTCCTAAGGACGTATGATTCCCCAAAATGCGCAACTGCTTACCAGCGAGGGGCAGTTGTGTGCGTGGGTCCGCTTCTCTCAGCTTGAGCTTCTTTCCAGCTCCAGTGCACCTTTTTCCAGCGACTTTCTGCACGAGCTCCTCTGAGCGATTTGCTGAGTTTGGCCGAACCTATCTTCATGAGGCGATCAGTGTGCCTGTTCCCGTCCTGGTCTCCGTTCTTCTAGCCTGTTCCTTTTCATTCCTTCCTTCTGCTTCTTTTTGATGACATAACTTCATTACATCGTGTTGCCTTTTCTTTTTTTATTCTGAGGACAGGCTCCCCTCTTACACCCTTCACCCCACAGCAGTTCTTTTCAAAAACAACTTGTCATTGGTCGAACAACTTTGCATAGAACAGCAACAGCAAACACACAGAAACTTCCATGCCTTAACGGCTGGAGAACTAGAAACCAGCTGGAGAACAAGAAACCGGAGACTGCATGGAGTCTCCTGAATCACCCTTCTTTGTTCCCTCTAAACTCTTTCATGTTCCTGATGGCCTCATCGTTAAGAGTCTAATGTTATCATCAACCACGGGGCTTGCCCACCCCCATGGCCACACTCCCAAATCTCCCCCTTCTTTATTAATATCAATTTTTTTCTTGACACGCATTACCACGCCATACATAACAGGCCCAAAGCCACCTGCTAGGCACAAGCCACTCCGCGGCTTCCTCCTGTAAAGGGCACAGTTGGTGCTGGGGCACCCGTTGCAGCTGTGCCGCTCACATCTGCTTTGAATTCCGACGTCTTTCTCCATCTCCACCAACTTTCTTCCCCTCTTTCCTTTCTGTTACCTGTTGCTGTGGCTGTTTTCTGCAAGCAACAGGGTAGGAGCCGGGCTGCTGGCTCCTGCTGTGCTCACTTGCTACCTCTCCCTCTTATTGGGATCCCTTTCCACCCCTTGCTCCTTCATTTTTCTCGTT